CCTATCAACTGTTTTATGTTTTTACTCCAACCATGCTCTTTATTTTAGCTATTTATCCAAATACTATTAATTTTATAGAATGTCACGTCAACAACAAAGATGGAGGGAAATGATCCTAATGATTGAATACATTTTGCCTAGCGTTGAAGACTAGCTACATGTAGCTAGTGAATATGAGTTGAGCCAAAATGCCTAATCATATGCCTAGTGCATTGGAATTGAAAAAAGTAAATCACACTAGGCATTTTAACTAACAAGTATTATATGCCTAGTGCATTGGAGATGCTCTAACAAACGTGAAGTTGGACCATGCAAACGGGGTTTATTAGTGTTGGCTTCTACTTTCTCGAACCTGTAATCTAACCATGCATGTCACTGCAATATTCACCTATTTCAATTTGTTACAACCTCCAAAACCAACACTCTACCTTAATTTAATCATTCTAATATGAGTTCATTACTCAAGCATATTAATACATCATTTTCCATAGTACACTACTTTAAGAAAAATGCTATCCATTGCTGGAAGAAACTATCTTACTTGATTTAGTGACAAGGAATCTTTTTATTAAGGAATCTAAAGAATCAACATGTAACACTTATCAAAGCTTAAGATATAATCTTTCATTGTGTATAGTAAATATACTAATGGCACACGTACACGCTGTACTTACATAATTTTATGTCTAAATTTTTAGACAGTTTGTTGAATGAAAAATATGGGTTAGTTTTAAAATTTTATTAACATTTTTATGGGCATTTTTTTAAATTAAAATTGTGCGACAAAGTTTTAAAAAATTATTTTGAATTATGTGATTTATATAATAGAATATATATATATATATATATAAAACTCTTGCTTAGAAGTTAGAAGAAAGTATATATGTTGCTAAGTTAGTTGTTAATGGAGACTTGCTAGATAAATTTGTTTCCAACTTTAAGAAGAAGAAGAAGAAAAACAAGTAGAAAAAAGGGCAAAGGGTAATCATAGAATGTTTTTATGAAAGACCAGTTAAACAGTAATTTGAGAGTGCTTGTTATACAATTTAAGGTAAGGCACATATGAAGCTTCTATTGTACTAAGGGAGAGAACCAAAATTAACTTGCTGGTTCAGGAACACACATAGACAAAAGTTGTACTTTAATTTTCAAAAGAGGTTTACACCAATGGAGATAGACGTTTTGATCCTGTAAATTAGAGAGAGATTTGCTAGCACATATGATTTTGGTTTTTTTTTTTTTAAAGCTCACGGGATGGTCTGGGTAAATTTTGAGAACATGAAGTCCCAAGGTCAATCCAAATTTCATAAAATCTTGATTATTATCATATAATTCAAAGTATTTATAAGAAAAATTAACATTTCGACTTACTCAAAATTTATAGTATTTTACTCTGACCCTCTCGAATTTTACAAAAACCTCATTTTTTTTATGCAATTTTGATAATTTATAAAACAAATTAGCAATTTAATCCTTCAAAGTCTATATAAATCTTTTTTTGATGGCTCGAAAATCTAATAATTATACCTCGACCTCTCTTTTATACAATTTTTGGATTCACACACTAAGGATGACTTGAAGGGTAAGTGGACAACGAATCTTTAAACAAGTAATCCACCATTCAAAAATCAAACTTATAATTTTTCATGTAAGAGTCATAAGCCTTGGCTAACCAAAAAAACACTCAATTGATTAGCATATATGATATTGAAATGTTATTTATTTATTTTTATATTGGAGGCCATAAGCTTGGGGTGATAAGACTTGAATTGTTAACCTCAACTCAGACATTTTAGTTAGGTGGAAGTGATATTCTGTAAATAATAAATAAATAAATAAAATTTGATTATTGAGAACGCAACTTTAGCCTTTATGAATATTTCAAAATTTTACAGCGGCAGTTTATTATAATTTATATGCCATTTATTTCACGTGCGATTTTGATTAATTGTTATTATAAGATAACATATCATATTTTAATTATAAAAATTTAAATTATTTAATTGAAGCAGTGTTATATATCTTTGACTATACCGTTGTGGCTATGATGTCACACACATCACACGTTAGGCTTTCATTCTGAAATAGAAGTATGATTTAATTATATCATCATATATGATATACTTTTTAACAGATTATATATAATTGGGTAAAAATATCTGGTGTCTTTGGGCTAGTCATAATATGAGACTCATATATCAAATAAATAATGGATACTTCTGATTCGTAAACCAGTGTTTAGATTTACTTTTCAAATCGATTTCGAACGAATTTTGATACAGTCAAGTAATAAATTATTAAAAATTTTAAATTAAAAACTTAATTGGTTTTAAAATGAATTAAAAATTAATTTATTTATATAATAAATTGATATTAAATGAGTTTTTAATATATTCAACCTGAAATGAATCGAATCGAATTGAATTAGAATGGTTCAATTCATTTCACTGTGCTAGTTAAATCTATACAAAAATCAGCCTCCGTTTGGGAAGTGGGTTGGCTTTTTGGCTTTTTGGCTTTTTGACTATTTTAGCATGGGCTATTTTAGCCTGGTTTGGGAAGAGCTTTTTGGCTTTTTGGCTTTTTTTGTGAGAGAGGATTGTAATGATTATGGGTTGGATTTGATGTTTTGTTTTTTGTGGCTAAAATAGCCTATTTTGTTTTTTGTGACTATTTTAGCCAAAAAAGCCTGGGCTTTTTCTTGCCAAACAGAGGCTCAATAATATAATTGAAAAAATTAATGAAACATCCCTTCTTAATCTTGGGTAGTAGGAGAGGTTAAATATATTTTTTTTTATTAGCTAAGGTACCTCAATGAAATTTCTTTGTGATCAAATCAGCGAAATTTTGAAATTTTTCTGTGTTGAAATTTCTCTGTGAAAACATTGAAAGACTTCAACTACTATAAAAATATTTTATGTCATTTATCTTATAAAATCTTAATATTAGGGATCTTAAATTAAAAACCCCTACATAATTTTGAGCTGAGCACAAGTTATCTATTAAAAGTCAATTACATTATTCTATTATTATTATTAAAAAGACAAATTACAATTACACTTCCTGAAATTTATTTAAAATATGAATTACATCTGTAGTTTCAAAAATTATAAATACTCCTTACCATAATTTTTTATTTAACAAATTAATTAATAAAATAAAATTTCTAACTACTCTCTTATATACAATAATAAAATTATCTAATTATTAATTAAAATAAAAATTTTATATCATTAAAAATTGTTAATTAACTCAATGATTTATTAATAAAAAGGGTTAATTGTTACGAAATTTGAAATGTCAATGGATAGGATGCAATTTTCAGAATTATAAAGACTATTCGTATTTTAAACAAATTTTAAAGAATATATTTGTAATTTATTCTTAGTAAAATACATGTAAATGCAAAAATTTGTAATCCATTTGGTTGTTGGAAATGAATGTGGTTAGGATTTGGTTGGACTGTAAGTACATGTAAATTTATCTTAACCTGTCAACCATGCAGTGGCAAAGTCAATACTTTGGCTGAAGCTGACAATATTAAGATAAAATATGTAGTCGCACTACAAAAAAAAATTGTGTTTTTGCGACGGAAAAATGTCGTCGCAAATACTCAAAACACCGTCTGAAAAGATTTTTTGTGACGGCAATTGGCTTTTAGCCACGACAAGTGGGAGGTCGCAACAAAGGGGGTTGCAAAAAGGTTTTAGCGACGGTATAACGCCGTCGCCTTTTTTTTGCGACGGAAAAATGCCTTTTTGCGATGGAAAAATGCTATCAGCATTAATACGTGAAAATCTGAGATTTTTTAAGACGGCACTATGTTGTCGTCGCTAAAAGGATTATTTGTGACGGCAAAAATACCTTCGCTAAAGGGTTATTTGAGACAGCACCTGATACCGTCGCTAAAGTATTATTGGCAACGGCAAATAATACTGTCGCTAAAGGTCTTCCGTTTCAACCAATTCCACTATCTTTTGCGACAGCATTATTGTCGTCGCAAAAAAACCTGGTTCTATTTTTCTTTTTAAGACGGTGTGTGTGTGGTGTCATCTCAAGAAAAAAAAAGAAAAAAAAAATTGTAATAAAATTATTAAAAATATGAAAATGACTTGTATTAAATGAAAAATAACTAAAAAAAAAAACCGATAATTACATAATAATATAAAAAGTCCAGTATATAAATAAAAATTCATCCATAATTAAAATATTCTTCCATTCATAACAACACATCAGCAAAATTATTCCACTACATAATGTTGCATAATACATACATAATGTTGTTCACAAATCTAAATAACATAAATTAAAAACAAAAATTTTCGTCATAATTCTTTCGTAGGTTACAAAAACAAAAGTTAGTCATAATCTTCATACGCCTGCATTCCACAAGAAGCAATATTGCAGTGATGTCCTCAATCCACCAGTGAGTGATGTCCATCCCACCATCCCTGGTCCACCTGCAAGAGCCTTAGAAACATTAATAGAACAATATTGCAGCCAGCAGTAAAATTAGGAAGGTAGGACATTTGAATTACCAAAGCCTCTCAAATCTAGTAGTAATAGCCACCTCCATATGGGTGATCATTCCCATAAAAAGATGAATATGATTCTTCACCATACTGTAACATGACAGAAGGTAGAATATCAAAAGTATGGTAAAGTGTAAGACGTGAACCAATAAACATAAAGTAAGCTATGAGTGCTCACATCAGAGCCATAATAATCGTGTGAGTGGAGATTGTTGCCAGCTCCAAAAGAATCTAAAACAAAAAGAGACATAAGCATGACCAATTTGATAAAAAACAATCCATACAAATAAGCAGGGAAAAAGGAACATTAGGCACAAAATCCATACCTTGATAGCGATGTGCATGAGCTGCTGGATCAGAATAATCTAATCGAGGTCTAAGTCTGCTAGGCTCCATGAAATCAGGATCATGGTCCTTAATGCCAAAAAAAAAACACTTAAACAGGTTACATTATGTGCGACACTAACAGAAATCTCAAAACAATAATACTTCAACAAAAAAAGAAATTTAAATGAAGTCCAGCTTGCTGTCATGAAAAATGGTCGTTTTATCCCATGTGAACTGTCTTTATAAAAGTAGTGGTCATCAAAATGCCTTCCAACAAATGGCTTGTTAAATCCTTCTTCGGGGGAAAATGGTTGCCTCCTGACTGGGATATGCCTCCCACGGCCACTATCAGTTGCTTCATGCCTGATCCTATCAAGGTTAGGTCTTGCTGGAACAGCATTTCCACCAGATGCATCATGAGAACTGCCAAACAAATCTCTCTTTCCACCTGCTTATATAAGGTTACATACAAGGGCTTGATAAGTGAATGCATTCAGGTTATAAAGATTAGTAGTAACCATTACAAAAAAATGTTAAGGACATAGACGATCAATTTTGGTCCAACATTTCAGGTCTCTGAGTTAAAAATTACCACTTTTGATGGTAAGAACATGTGAAAATTGTTTTGATAGAAGATTTTCTGTTTATTCCTTCTTTTTTATTCATTTTTTTGGTGCTGCGGAGGAGGGGTGGATTTAAACTAGAATGAAAAAGTAGAGCTTATACAAGTGGAATCATCAAATAAGGAACAAAGTTCCAATCTATGTCACACCTCTCCTCTAATCACGTCTCGAAAGTGTCAAAATTTTAGAAATTTAAAAGGATAGGAAGAAAGAAAATCAGAAGGGAAAAAGCTAACACATGGAATGCTTTGGGGCTTTCATGGTTCTTTTTTTTTTTTTTTTTTTTTTAAGACAAAGAAAAGAAGACAAAGGGGAAAGAAAATAATAGAGAATGGTCTTACATATGGGGGCTGAAAGGATTCTGCAATGTAAAATTGCTTCTTGGTTTATTCTTTATGATAGAGGCACACACACACACATATATATAAACACATATACACAAAACACTGGTTCTGAAAACAACATTACTCACTCTGTTAATACCACACTAAACACTGGTTTTGAAACATATGGCCAAGATTACTTGCATGCATCTGTACATAGTGGCAAAAGTTATGCATTTCAAAATGATTAAGATATACAAGTCATAAAGAGTAAATTGGCATCATAAATAGCTACAAATTAGGAGAAAATAAATTTAATCAAATTTTTTACTTTTTAGAGGTTCCAGTTGTACATGATAAAAAGTGCAGAAAATCTTCAATACTTGAGATGTCCACTACACCTAATCTACCCGTAATACCACAAAAATTCAATAACTTACCTACCTAGAGTTCTACAATCTAGTAAAATAATGTCTAAAGTGCAACCTTCATGTAGCAACTTTGAGGTTGTTGAGAAATAAGATTGTTCTTTCAAAAAGTAAAAAGTCATGCAAACAATTCTATGCGAGGTAGAACATATTTCCACAGGGGAGTCATGCTTAGGCCTTCTAGAAATCTCTATAAATGGTTCGGATGGCTTATGTATAAAGAGTATGCTCTAAATAAAGTCATGACTATAGCTGAAGCAAGAGAGGTTATTACAACCAGTGCTTCAATCAGTTGTGCTGCACAACTGGCCAAAGCACTTGTTTTGGACCTCCCATGCTTTGGCAATAGCTGCAGCCTCTAACTAGTACTAAAAATATTCTGCTCCATTCTAGGAAGTCATGGATGTTAGGGTTACAATGGAAGTGGTTTAAATACAGAAGAAACATCCCAATTCATAGAGTCCAAAATCTTAAACAATACGGTCACGGTATTTCATAGAAACATACATTAAAATAGAGCATCAACCCAAATTCAGGTTCTGAAGTGAGAAATACACACAAAAGAGCATTGCAATAACTGTTTCTAAACACCAGAAAATCATACATAGGAACAGAAAAGTTCATGGAGTTTCATAATACACCAACCATGAGATGCAAAAATGATACACAGCCTTGACCCAACTGTCCTCCTTCAATAGATAAGAGGGGGTGAGGAGATTCCGCTTCAGACTTCAGTTGGAGGTTTCAACCTTACGATCCTTTTGATTCTATCCTTGTCCATGTTCTCTAGCAACTCCTTTTCAGCACAAAGAGGAAAAACTATCACAAACATGAACACTTGACAATAAAATGTGAAACAAATTGTAAAAAGAAAATCAGATTAGATAGCTATCTAAGAATTCTTGCTCTCCAGTGGTGATTGAAGTAATATTCTTTCCATCTTTTAGCTATAAGAATTCAACTTCTAGATTTTAGCTATTTTCGTGGATCTATCTAAGAATTCAACTTCTATATATAAACACAAGCATAACTGGAATAAGGCTCAGAAAATGGACCAAAATATATACTAGATTTTAGGAAATACAGAGAGAGAGAGAGAGAGAGAGAGAGAGAGAGAGAGAAAGAGAGCTGTGACCTAGGGCTTCTACAGGCAAAGTCCAAGGGATTCTGCGCCAAGAACGAATGCAGCAAAATCCACCCGCCACAGATGTAATCACCTTCGCATTCCATCGTGGATTCAACAAAACAATTGCAAAATATAAGAATGTTCTGTTTATTTAAATGAAATGAAATCAAATGAAATCATCAAAATATATTTAGATAAATAAAAGGATATAAGAAATTAGACCGCACCAGGAACACCGGCGAATCGGAGAGTCTCTTCAATCATGCGAATCTGAGCGGACTGATGTTCTTGAAGCTGAAAGCTTCGAGCCCTGAGCAGCTCCTTCACCACTGGAATGAAGACAGAAAGATATAAGAAATTAGACCGCACCAGGAACACCGGCGAATCGGAGAGTCTCTTCAATCATGCGAATCTGAGCGGACTGATGTTCTTGAAGCTGAAAGCTTCGAGCCTACTATTAATGGCTAAGGTGGTCCCTGAGCAGCTCCTTCACCACTGGAATGAGAGCAACAGAGGGAAAGCCAACAGAGTGAGAAACAAAAGAGTGAGGCTCCTTAACCCCGTCGCTCGACGCCATCGTATGCCGTGCTCACAGTCGCGAGAGGGAGAGAGATGGGGATTTTTGTTCAAAAATTAGGGATTTGAGATTTGGGGATTTTTGGTTGAGGGGGGAAAAACGAGCAGGAATCAGATTTTGTGCTTTTTTTTTTTGGGCAAATTATATATACACCCCTCGAGGTTTGGTTAAATTACAGATATCCCCTTGAGGTTTGGAAGAAAAATAGAAACCGGCGGATTGATAAAAGTGTCACTAGAATTTGCCATTTTTCTTACCAAAAATCGGCGGTTCGATTGACAAATAATAATGAATTTGCCTTGGCGGTGCGGTTCGGTGCGGTTTTGGCGGTTTCGGCGGTTTTGGCGGTATTATGCACACCCCTAGGAATGAGAGCAGCAGAGGGAAAGCCAACAGAGTGAGAAACAAAAGAGTGAGGCTCCTTAACCCCGTCGCTCGACGCCATCGTCTGCCGTGCTCACAGTCGCGAGAGAGAGAGAGATGGGGATTTTTGTTCAAAAATTAGGGATTTGAGATTTGGGGATTTTTGGTTGAGGGGGGGAAAAACGAGCAGGAATCAGATTTTGTGCTTTTTTTTTTTTCGCCACATCAAGCATAACTAGCTCAGATGCAAATTTAAGGTAGGTTTGATAAGATTTATATTTTTCATTTATGTTTACAAAAAATTTATAAATTGATTTTTGTTTATTTTTAGAAAAATATAAATTACAAATGCGTTTGAATAAAATATTTAAAAAAAATTAAAAACATAAACTAAAAAAATGTTTACAAAAATTTTATAAATTGATTTTTGTTTATTTTTAAAAAAATATAAATTACAAATGCGTTTGAACAAAATATTTAAAAAAAATTAAAAACATAAACTAAAAAACATGTTTGTCCAGGCCTAAAATATTTATATTTATTTTTTTATTATTTATGATAATGAGATCATACACGTTTTAATTGAAAAAAAAAATTAATTAAAAAAATTTTATTTGAAAAAAAATATTTAAAAAGATAATTAAAAAAAATATTTGAAAAAATAATTAATTAAAAAAATATTGTTAGTCGAATTTTTAGATTTCTGTTTAAAAACCAATGTAAACTCATTTTTTGAGAGAGATGAGTGAAAGAGAGAGAAAAGAGAGATGAACGAGAGACACAAAGAGAAAGAGACAGAGACAGAGAGAGACCCATTTCATTTTTTGACATTTTTCTCTTTCAACAACAATGGGCTCAGAGAAAAAGATGAGTGTGAACGAGAGAAATGAACGATTGAGAGAGAAGAGAGATTAGGGGGAGAGAGAGAGAAAGAGAAATAGATAGAGAAATAAAAATAAAAATAAAAAGAGAAACAAGATGAGCGAGAGAGAGAAAGAAAAAGACAGCAAAAAGAGATGAACAAGAGATATAGAGAGAGAAGGAGAGAGAAGAAAGATGAGCAAGAGAGATGAGAGAGCCAGAGAGAATAGTAATGAGTGTGAGAGAGAGAGAGACACAGAGAGAGAGAGAAAGAGAGAAACAAGATGAGCGAGAGATAGACAAAGAAAGAGAGGGAAAAAGAGAGAGAGAGAGAAACAGCAAAAAGAGATGAACAAGAGTATAGAGAGAGACATAGAAAGAGAAAGAGAGAGAAGAAGAAAGATGAGCAAGAGAGATAGAGAGCAAAGAGAGATGAAAGAGTCAGAGAGAAGAGTGATGAGTGAGAGAGAGAGAGAGAAAAAAAAAAGAGATCGATAATCGAGAGGGAGATCGGTAAATCAATATGAGGGGATGGAGAGAGTGAGCAATGCAAGCGCAGTGTGTGTGTGTGTGTGTGAGTGTGTGTGTGAGAGAGAGAGAGAAAGAGACACACACAGATAGAAAAACAAAGAGTGATGAGTAGGGGTAATGAAAAAAAAAATTTATTTTTTATTTTTTTTAGTTACTAAGGTTGAAAATTTATTTGTTTCATTTTTATTTTAATGATTTTTTATTTTATTTTTTTTGGTAGAAGTAAGGGTAATATTTTAATGAAAAATATTTTCCATTAAAATAAAGTTAATTTTTTTTTGTCAATGAAAAATATTTTTCTACGGCCCTTTTTTTTTGTTACTAAAATGGGAGTGGCAGGGGGGAGAGAGTGGCAGGGGAGAGAGAGTGGCAGTAGTGGTGAATGTGGTGGACAAGAGATGGTGGTGGTGATGGCGAAGGAGATTAGTGGTGAAGTTGTAGTAGTGGTAGAGGAGATGGAGTGGCAGTGGTGGAGGAGAGGTAATGGTAGTAGTAGTGGCAATAGTGGTGGTGATGGTAGTAGAGTGGTGGCGATGGTGGATGAGAGGTAATGGTAGTAGTAGTGGCAGTAGTGGTGGTGGTCATAGTTCCACCCATTGATCTAAGTATAGTGTTTGTTTTGAGCTTTCAAATCATAATTCTACATTCATTTTTCAAAACTCAATTCAAAATATAATCATTACTTTTCAAAACTCATAACCAAACACATAATTCAAAACTCTTTTCAAAACTTAATTCAAATCAATTTTTTAAATATTTTTATTTTGTGAGAGACAGATAAAGAAGAGAGATAGAGAGACAGAGACAGAGTGATGAGCGAGAGAGAGACAAAGTGGTTGCTAAAAGTGTATTTTTTTATAGTGGATTAATAAATCAAGAAGGAGCTCGATAAATAGACAAGATGGGAGGGAGAGAGTGAACAAGACGAACATAGTGAGGGAGAAATAGACAAATAGACAGAGAGAGAGAGAGAGAGAGATAGAAGAGTGATGAGTGAGAGAGAGATAGATAGAAAAAGAGATAGAGAGAGATAAAGGGAGAGATAGAAAAAGATAGAGAAACAACAGATGAGCGAGAGATAGACAAAAAGAAACAGAAATAGAGCGAAAAGAGATGAACGAGAGAGAGACACAGAAAAAGAGAGACACAGAGAGAGAAGAGAGATAGGCGAGAGAGATAAAAAGATAAGAGAGAGAGAAAAGAAATAAGAGAGATAGAGAGAAGAGAGATGAGCGAGAGAGACAGATAAGAGAGATAGAGAGAAGAGAGATAGGCGAGAGACACAAAGAGAAAATGAGAGAGAGAAACAGACAGACAGAAAAAGAAGAGTGATGAGTGAAAGAGATAAAGAGAAGAGACAGAGAGAGATAAAGACAAAGAGACTGGAAGATGAAAAAATGAATGAAAAGATAAATGTTATATCAAAAGAGTAAGACGACATAATTTTTTTTAATTTTTTTTTGCGACAGAAAAATACTGTTACATTTATTCAAACCATTTTGTGACTGCATATATATGAAGTTGTCTCAACACCACAATCACTATGTTAGGTTAGAGTTTTCCAAAAACTCTTTTGAGAAAATTATACTTTTCTTGTTTTCTGTGTTATATTGTTTTTACTGAATTTTTTAATATTTTAAGTAATTTTTTTAATTTTTAGACACACCTAACATAAATACACCTAAAAAGTAAAAAAATTGTAAAAAAAATCTTTTAAAAATTCACTAAATACCAAAAAATACAAAAAAAAAATACAATAATTCAATTCATTTTTTTTTGTATTTTTATGTATTTATTAATTTTTAAAAATATTTTTTCATAATTTTTTTATTTTTTAGATACATCTAAGTAAGGTGCATCTAAAAAAAATATTTAAAATTTTAAAAATATTAACTAAAAAAAAAAACATGAAAGTCACTTTTTGCGAAGGCAGAAAATGCCGTCTCAAAAGAGTAAAGTATTTGTGACGGCACCATTTGCCGTCTCAAAAAAACAGAGTATTTGCGACGGCAGAAAATACCGTCTCAAAAAAGGAGAGTATTTGTGTGACAACCCTCACCTCCAATTACTGCTAAACTGTGACTGAACATAATAAGTAACTGATTAGGGTAAAATCCTAAACTGATTGCATGAGTATACTGTTTTAAATGCATTTCTATATGTTAGTCATTGAATGATCTGTTCATATTTTTAATTTCGAACTGCAAATTGAAGGCCTTATCGGCGGCCGAATCTGTAATTGATTGGTGTTTTATGTTAATTAGAATTTATGTGTTATTATGGTAGATTTAATTTAAATTTGATTTGGTGTGATTAAATTAGATTAAATAAAGCT